TATATATATATATGAGCGAGAGAGGAAAACAGCGAATTTCAAAATTCAGCAAGGTACAGCTGTGGTGCGCGCTGTGCACGTTAGCCGGAAATCAAAAGTACGTTCATTGGGGCAAAAAAAGGAAGTTGAGTGTGAAGTAAAACAAGAAGAAAATTCATCCACGAAGAAGAGCGCAGTGACAAGCGAGAAAGAGACGACACTCCTCACATTTACACACACGTACACAAGAGGTGGCCATCGTTTAAGATGACGAAAGTGGAAAACGCTTTCCTGCATTGCTTCCTTTTTGAATAGAGCACACTCATTCATGCTTTATATGTATATGTGCTATTTGGGAATCACCGCAGCGCCACTGACGTTCCCTGAACGCCACGCTTTATGCGACGCTGTGGTACGGCAACACACCCAATGAGGCTGTCCTCAACGTCTGCGTGTTTGTGTTCGTTTGTAGGTGCATGTGAAAGGAGCAAAGCTCACCGATGGAGTAAACAGCATTACAAAAGCCACAGGAGGAAACAACCCAGCGCCACCACACACAACATCATCGATCTACACGGTCAGATGAACCCCACCGTGGCTGCGGTTTCACGTTCGCTTTGATGAATTCCAAGTTGCTCGCCAGCTTCGTGGTGAGCGCGTCCTCGTCGGCGCACGCACGTATCGCCTCTTTCATCTCGCCACTCTGCTCCTGCGCGCTGCGTAGTGCGGCAATCGCCGCAGCTTTCTTGTCCGCCGCCTTGCCCAACTGACGCTGCCACGCGCTCTCCGCGGCCAGCTGCTGAGCCCGCCGCTCCCCGCGATGGTACAGCGAGATGAACGCGAAGAACCCCACGGCAAAGCAGGCGGGAAGGAGCAGGAAGCTCCACGCCAGGCCTTCCCCTCTGCCCTGCAGTGTGATGCCCTCCAGACTGGCCGCACGGCTCGTGCCCATGCCAGCCGCGTGGAACACGTCGTTCACCCGTTGAACTTTGTTGCGCTCGCGGCGAGCGGCCTGCAACGGAGCGCCAACGTCGTCGATGCGGTTTCGCCGGTCGCGGGTGGACGTGGTGAGCCACAAGTACAGCCGCCTGCCCCACCCACTGCGTCCTTGCGCACCCATCGGTATCTTCGTTTGTATGTGTGGGTGTGTCAACGTACCTCCCTGCAGCGCTGCGAACCTTCAACGCCCTGCATTCGAACGCTCTTTGATTCGCCGATTCCTAGATCAATATATATATATATATATATATATATATATATATATG